AAATCATGAGGTGAGCGTGCCTTCAGAGAATCATCAACAAGGCTGACGAGATAACCCTGACAGTTACCTCGTCGCAACATCTTTCTGGATTTTGCCATCGAAATGACATGGGGCAAGGAACGAGTCTTAGTGCTGAAGAAAGTGATCTGATCATCTCCCGGAAGAAAAAGAGTAATCTCCCGGTCATGACATCGGATATCTGCATGAAAATGCATTAGCCAATCCATGCCGAGTATGAGGTCAAAATCCCTAATCTCGAGAACATACGCATCGGTAGGCAATATACGACCACCGATGGAAAGACTGAGATCTGTGGCTATGGCTGAAGTCACTATCTTTCGTCCCAAGGCTAAACTCACCTCGAGAGGATCGACAGCGGTACTTACATGAACTCTGATGGCATCGAGACATCTTCGTGATATAAAAGTATGAGTTGCTCCCGTATCAAGTAAGGCAAAGACAGGAATGTCATTAAGCATAAGCATCCCAGACATAGTACCTGGGTGTTGTTCTGTCTCTGCCTGATCAACCGCATAAACTTGGGCCTGCTGTCTGCCCCTATGCTGCTGCTGTGGTGGTCTCTGGGCTTGCTGTCGAGGCTGCTGCTGCTGTGGCTGTTGTGGCTACTGCTGGAGTTTCTTCAGACAACGACTAGCAAAATGTCCGGGCTCGTGGCAATAGTAACAAATATCCTGGCCCATGTGACACTCGCCGCGATGAAGTCGTCCGCAAGTGGGGCACTGTGGAATCTGCTGCGGCCTCTGTCGGGTCCTCCTGTCCGTCTGGGCACCCTTCCCTTTCCTCTTGTTGTTCTTTGGTGGCTGGACAACAGTCGGTGGAACTGTGGATGGCTGGGCAGGGGAAACTAGCTGTAATCGATCATGGTTCGCCTCCCATCGAATGCTGACATTCACCTCCTGGGCAATGGCAACGATACGAGTGTAGGTCTGGACTCCGTGACCTACAATATTATGACGGACTGCTGGGAAAAGCCCGTCAGTGAAACGCTGTGCTCGCTGTGCCTCAGTACGCACCAAATCCGGAACGAAAGCTCCGAGTCTGGTAAACTCTCTCTCGTACTCGTCAACAGTACGAGTACCCTACTTGAGCGACAGAAACTGCCGCTCCATCTCAGCTCGGTAGTACGTGGGATAATACTTCTCTCGAATCATCTACTTGAGTCTCTCCCAGGTACAACCTTCTTTCTCGCCAGGACGCATACTCCAGTAGGCATTCCACCAGAGTCGGGCGTCACCGGTCAACTGAAGCTGTGCGCAAGTAACACGATAGCGATCTGGACAGTCCATGACCTCAAAAATCAATTCGAGGCCCTGAATCCACTCATCTACAATACGCGCATCTCCCTGGCCGGAGAACTTCTCAGGGTGGTAGTCCCGGAACAGAGCAACCACTGTGGCCTGGGGGACCGCTGGCTGTTCAGGTTCCCTACGGGGCGGCATCTGAATATTGAAAAGATTCAACATGATTAAAATTCAATGAAATACTTTAACTGATTACTAAAGCACACAAATCTCTTGACGAGTTGCTAAACATGACAGGGGAAATACTGACTGATATCCTGATTACTGATCCTGAACATGATTCGAGCATCTTAACTAATTTATAACTGAAAAGTTCTGAGCATAGAAATAGTACTTGTTTATAATTTGAAAACATGAATCAGCACTTACCTGTAGTCGGCGAGGAGTGAGCGTGACAGTTCAGGTTTTTCAAAATTTTCTGACTCGTAAAATTTTCAGAGACGCAGAAACGTGCTCTGATACCAACTGTAACACCCCGCCTTATCGTGAAATCAGAGTGCGTAATTTCGCAAAGTCCTTAAAAATAAAATCTTTTAATTTGCGAAAACTGATTTGGGGTGCTACTATAAAAACATGTCTTATTCTGAAAAACCGTTAATTTAGTCTTTAATAAAAGTCTACGGTTTACTGAAAGTATTAATTATCTGAAAGTCCGATCAAAGATAAGTTCGTCAAAACATCATAATCAGCGGAAACGTAGCATCATCAAAATATTTACAATCACATGAGCAAAAGTCCTGAATCGCCCGTCATCTCACACCTCCGGCCCGACATCCTGACCTGAAAAACATGATAAAAGTGGGTCGTGAGCACTAAAATACACTGTGCTCCGTGGAAAATCGTACTAAAGTAAACATCGAA